CCCCGCCCCTCCCTGGAAGCAGTCACGCCGGCCTTGTTCTCTCGCCGGCTGCTTGGCTGTTGCAGCAAGCCATCACCATCCCAGTTATTCTTTCTGCTGTTGCAGCCCTGCTCACGCTGCAGACGTCCTCCCTCAGGGCCCGCGCTCTCTTGGTCCTGACTGTCACATGGGCTGGCCAACGGGCCAGGGGTTGACGGCTTGGCGGGTCTTTGAGTGCGGCAGCTGCGGCCGGCCCCTTCCCCGACGTCTGTGGTCCTTTTTGGCGCCCCGCGGCCACCATCCGCGTCCTTCCGGCTTCCCGGCTGGGCCGTGGCCAATGCCCGGCCTCCGCATGCCTCCCCCCTCACCCCGTGCTGGGCAAAGCCGGCTGAGGCCTCCAGGACCCACGCGCGGTAGGCGGCGGCTCGAGGAAATGAGGGGAGGGGGGTGGGTCGTACCTGTTGGCCGGGTCTGCACCGGAGGAGAGCTGGGTGGCAGCGTGCGGCGGTTGGGCGGCTGTGGCGGCGTGGGCAGCTGCGGCAGTGTTCAGCTGCTGCTTCCCCCCCCCAGCGGATGGCAAGCCCCGCGGAGCTTGACAGACATTAGAACTTTGAAAGGTCACTAAGTGACTAGTCATACGTTGAGGACTATCTGTACGTTCAGAAAATAGAACAGGAAGAAATGAGTTCTTTTAGAGGCCTTTACTTATTTGAACATAACAAATGACTTTAAAGGTTGGAGGGACATTCACAGCTAGCCATCAGTCATAAATTCCATCAGAGTTTATGCCTTAAACCAAATAAAGAAAAATGTAAGTATTTATAGCAACTTAATCAAATAGAAAAGCATAATTATTCTTTTTTGATATAGGATACTATTACTCAAAGTGCAGTAAATTTTAATACCAGATAAAAATAAAAATATTTTGAAGCACTGAGCCTGAAGCAATAAAAAGGTGTTTTTTATACAACCATCTAAGATTGTGGTATTTTAATAGTTGAAATTTTAAAATTACAAAAGGGAACTGTCCAGTATAAAAAAGATAAATTTGTTATTTGGGCATGCAAATGTTCTTGATGTATCAAAGCTAAGCTATCCCTTTTACGCTTGGTTGGGTAAAGAACAGGGACTAAAAATCTCCAAACTTCCAGAGCATAGAGGATTTCATGCAGGATTGAAATTATGGGATATTTCTGACCATTGCAGTTCAAGTGACTGTCAGCCTGGTTGGGGATGCTTGTGTAGAGAGGTCACCTGAATCTCCCAGAGCGATCCAGGGAGATGTAAGCAACAGTTTTGTCTCTGTATATCGTTGGATTCAAAAAACCCTATTTGCCTGGACATGCATAAAAAGGGTTTGTAGAGAATCATGCAAACAACTTCTTTCATCACTTCATGAGACAGAGCTTCCAGTAATTACAGGGCCATAAATCATGTGTTATCTTAAAGAGATGTGGTACATAATATCTCTATATCTGTGCATTTATGTTTCTAAATGGGATATAGGGATATAGATTTTTTTTGCTCAGTTTATAAACCACATTGATTTGCCTTTTAACCTCCTTTCCCCCTCTCCCTCCCCCATGTATTGCATATATAGTTTATCCTAGTGAAACAATTTTTCTACAAGACAATCCTATAAAACTGCCATTTAGATTAGATTATGTGCATGCATTCTATAGTGTCAGTGGCACACACCCTTTACTACTTTAGCAATAGTGCTGATACCTTTTGATTTGTACATATTTGCAGTATATTTTTAATCTGTTTTAATATTTGGAAAAAATAAATAATTTTGGTATATATACCAATTTTTATATTATATTTTATATTTGGTATATTTATATAGATATGCATTTATTAATTGAATTTGAATATGTACAAAGGACATGATAGAGCAGTAGTGTAAATATTTATTAATTTTTTCCACTAAATATTTCTGATTTCTGACTTTCTCTACACCCGACTGGATTGCTCTCTTCCGTTCTGAACCCCAATAATGTCCTTTCCAACTGAGCTTAAGGTGAAATGTTCAGGTAGTCCTCAACTTATAACAGTTAATTTAGTGACCATTCAAAGTTACAATAGCACTGAAAGAAGTGACTTATGACCATTTTTCACACTTATGACCATTGCAGCATCTTCATAGTCACGCAATCAGAATTAAAATGCTTGGCAACTGACTCGTATTTATGATGGTTGCAGCGTCCCGGGGTCACGTGATCATCTTTTGTGATCTTCTGACAAGCAATGTCAATGGGGAAA